TCGTGCGGCCCGGTGTTTGTGGGGGGGGAGGCGCAGAGGCTTTGCGCTGGCCGTGCCGCGGCTGACTTGCTCTTCCTTTCGCTCTCGTTGCCTCGACCTCTCTTAACAGAAGGTTGGTTTTTTATTTTTTCATTTGAGCGCTTTCCAAACTATTTATGACGCCCGATCGTACGGGCAAGGCAGTGTCTTCAGGCTCTTGAGGTCGCTACCTCGGGACCGTGCCCCCGTCCCGTCTTAAGGAGCTCTAGAGGACTTGGAGTGCAGGGAAGGTTGACGGAGCGTGCCGGCTTGCTGGGGTCAGTCTTTTGAGAGTTGTTTTCCTTTTGCAGGTGTTTTGAGCCGCTGGGCCCCCTGCTTTTCATGGTCTTCGACCTTTAGAGGCTGGAGCTGCAGCCCTCTCTCTTTCAGCCGTGTACCTGCCACGCTGCTGGAGTGGGAAATCCCGCCCGGGCACCTCGTGGAAGCGGCTCTTCCCTAAAACCATCCTTAACTCCTTTCCCCGCTAGACCGAGTTACCTTCTGATAGACTCGGGCCGTGCTTTGGCAGACGGGCTCGCCTCTTGCTTTGGCAACCTCCTCGCTTCTCCCAGCCCTCTGGTTTCCATGCCCTTCGGGGGGTCGCTCCTCTCTTCTCCCGCGGACCTGGGACATCGAAGCTGTGTCAGACGATGCCATTTCATCCCTGTTTGAACTCCGTTTCGCTTTGGTGGTTTGCAAACACAGCTGCTGCTGCTTCATTTTTTTTTTTTTTTTTTTTTCCTTTCATGCTGCAAAATATATCTTGATTTTTATCTTCCTGGGCCAAACTCTCTTATTTTGTAAGCTTGTCTGAGGTAGAAGGCTCTTGCTTTACCAGTAAGCGTACGATTCCTCCTTGCATGGTGCAAGCGCGATGCGTTTCATTAGGTCCCTTGGAAAATCCTGGGCCACGATGCAAAAATGCCTCTGAATCACAGGAATATTTGTCCCTGGGCTCCGCCGAGATGTCAGTGCAGTGGGCACCAGCCCAGCTTTGGGTGCTCCTTGCTGGTGCCTCTGCCTGTGAGGTGGCCATGGTGGGGATGCTCCAGCTCAGTTTTTGCGCCACCGTCGGGGTTGCAGGATTCAGCCGCCCCTAGCTGGGGGAGATAACGTGGAGAGGTAGGTACGGGGGGGTTGCCGAGGTCCCTCAAAAAGGGGGTGGTCGTGGGGTGCCGTCCCTCGCACCCTCTCCATCAAACCTGTGCCATCCCGTGGGGTGGGGAAAACGCTTTGCTTGCTTTTCCAGCAGGAGCTGCTGAGCAGTCGGCCGTGTATTTTTAAGGTGACTTTGCCGTGCAAACCCACGGATGTTTTGGTTTCGCAATGTTGAAGCGAAGGAAAATGCAAGTTGGTGTAAGTGGGGGAGAAAAGGTTCAGGGTTCACTTGTGGGGCCCCGTTTCTGTGCCTGCCGTTAACTGCATCCGCGGGCACTTGGAGTGATGGGTTTGGAGGATGGGGGGGAGCTGGAAGGTCCCAGGATCTCTTCCCAGCTCTGCTACAGACTTGTAGTACGAACCCGGGCTGGAGCCCTCGGTGGGAAGCACCGGCACGGCTTGCGGTCTCGCCGGGTGTGTGCGTCGGCGCCCCCTGAGCTGCCGGGGCGGTGGGGGTGTCTGTGCGAGCGGGCGATGCTTTTCCCAGGGTCGGATGCTCCCTGCTGCCGCCGTCCGTCGGTCACTCGTCGGCTGGTTTCGGTTGCTAGCAGGCTCCAGGCTGTTGATCTGGCGTTCGTCCCCTTGTCAGCCGGTTTGGTGCCACCCGTTTGGGCAAAGGCTGGAGGTGACAGTGTTTGGATATATGAATAGAAAGGGAATAACAACTGCGCTCTCCTACCTCCAGGGGTGTCGAGGGCTCAGGGGTTGTGCTCAGCAGCCCCAGCAGGGCTTGGTCATGTCTCGTGGCATCAATCTGCCTGGCATTTTGGTTTCTCCTCCCGCTTCAGGTAGTGATGTAGATTTGGGTTGGTTTCAGCTGTAGTTTTGGGTTGGTTTCAGCTGTAGTTTTGGGTTGGTTTCAGCTGTAGTTTTGGGTTGGTTTCAGCTGTAGTTCTTGGCTGGGGGGTATTTTCTGTCGAGGCTGGACCGGCTGCCTTCAGGGCTTTCCGCAGGTCCTGCGTGGGCTCGCTGCAGCCCTGGGCTGGCAGGGTCGATGCTTTTTGTGGAAGGAAATCTTTTCAAGGAACCGGAGTAAACCGCCATGTATATACAAGATATAAATACATAGAGAAGCGTAGGACAAAGGTAGATAGGTATGCAGAAGTCCAGTAGATTTGCATGTCAGGGGTATGTTTGTCTCTAGGGGAGAGTGTTTAGAGCCGTGGTGGAGGGAGGGATTGGGATGGGCAAAGCTGGGCAGGGGCTGGGAGCAGCCGGAGCCCGGGGGGATTTGGGAATAGACAGGCAGAGCTGCCCCACGGCAGGCATGACCTGCACTGCAGCCCTGCTGCAGCAACAAAATCACTTTTATTATTATTATTATTATTATTCCCCCCCATTTTTTTTTTTTTTCCCTTTTGCTTTGTTCATTGTACGTGACTCACCGCGGGGCCGTGATACTGAGAAGCAGGAGTGACAGGTCCTCTCCTCTGCGTGTCCGGACGCACGTGGGGCATGACATGGGAAAGAGACGTCACATTGCCTCATCCCTGGTGCAATCCTTTAAAGAAAAAGCATCACCACGCAGAAACCCTTCTCTGAAGTCCCTCTAGATGCTGCTCTCCGGTTACTCATATGAAAGCGTTTTGCTTTGCATCTGTTCTTCCCAGAAAAGCATGAGTCAGAAGGGATGAGAGGGATCAGCTAAATTTGTCCCTTGGGATGAGGAACGTGGCGCCGGCTGTGCCAGCCGGTCCCGGCAGCGGCTCCTCGGCAGGACAAGATGTTCTTCACAGTGTCTTTATTTTTTTTTTATTTTTATTTTTATTTTTTAACCCTCATTAGCAGGACTTTTAGTGTCTGAAGCAGAGAAGGGATTTGTTCACCAATGATGCCGGAGGCCGTACTGGTAAAGTGTCCCATGGCTCCTGACATGGGGGTGGCCCAATTCGGGCTGGATGCCTGCGGCTCTCCGGGAGCCCATCCTCACGCTGCTTGGGCACGAGGTTTAACCCTTAAGGAAAACAAGATGTTTACTCTCATTTCCCCCCTTTCAGCTTAGGTTTGGTTTTTTCTTTGTTTTATTTTGCTGAATATCTTTCCTCCTCTCCGCCTGTGTTTGCAGAGGGGGGGAGGCTGGGAAGCACATTTCGCCCCTGTTAGGGGTGGCTGCTGAAATCCCCTGGGGAAGCTCGTGGGGCAGGGACTGGAGGCAGCAGCGGTGGCATCTCTGACTTGGCAACACCTGCGTACCAGCAAAAGAACAAACTTAGGGTTGAGTTTAACTTCCATCCATCTTTAGATCCCCGCCTGGTGAGGACCGGTGCGGAGCTGCTGGTTTCTGGGAGGGGGCTGGCGGTGGGAGCCTGTTCCCCTCCCCGGCTGCTGTGTTTCCCCATTTTCCCTGTTTCTCCGTGTTTTGGCCCGGCAGGTTTGTGCTGTCTAAGCTGTCTGTTCCTCGTCATTTGTGTGGCAGCGGGCGTCTTGCCCAGCGACGCTGGGCAACCTCGGGACGCGTGCCGGCGAGCATCCCCCATCCCCAGGGCTCTGGCTGGCTTTTGATACGTGCATGGATGGACGAAGGACCGTGTCTAGGGAGGGGGTGGGCAAGAGAAAGGGGGGGCGGACGTTGAAAGCATGCGCTGTAGTGGTAGCTAAGGATTTTTATACTGGTTGCAGTGGGGCAGGACACGCAGTATGGAGGGGCTGGCATTCCCTGGGGGAGGAGAGTTTGCCCAGATTTTTGCTTTACCATCAAAATGACAATTTCTCTCCCAGGGGGGCTTCTGTTCTTGTTCTCCTGAGGTTGCAGGGGACCAAGAGGGCTGCAAAGGGGGGTGCCCATCTTCCCAGGACAAGGCAGTCCTGTGGTCTGAAAGCTCCTCTGATTTCCACCCACTCCCCCCCCAGCACTTCTATTTAATAGTAAAAAAAAAAAGGCGACTTGAGAAATGAGCCCCAGTATCTCTATCTAAAGAAATGATATTGGTGTATTGAAACTGCATTGTATATAAAATTAAACAAATATATATTTACTTTCTATTTTAGAAGGGGGGGGAGAACAAATATTTAAAATAATTCCTTAGTAATAGGTGTCAGAAACTTCTGTGCAGCATGAGAGAGGCTGTCAGAGGTGGGGAGAGCCTGGACAGCGGGAGCAGAGCGAGTATTTTTACATTATATTGCGCTTTGGCTTCGCTGCTTCTCCATCCACCTATAAATAGACAAAAATATATATACAAATATATATATATAAAAAAAAATTATATATATCTAAGTCACATAGCTGTTTTATTTTTGTATCCATGCCTAGTGCTGTTTGAGCAATATGGTGGCGAGGGAGAGAGGAGGGCTTGGGCAAGGCTGGGGGGCTCCTGGGGCTCCCAGGGGGATCCTCTCGCTCCGGCTGCCGTCCTGCCACC